CTGCATCGACTTGCGTTTTATTAGCGGCTATTAGAAATTGAAATAATGCAAAAGTATTACGTCGAATAGCATATGTCGTTGAACGAGTTAAGTTCACTTTCTTTTCCTGAAATGAAATATTTTTGCTCATTATTCAATCGGTAATAGAGGTTCTCCTGCTGCTTTTCATTTGTTAATTATTTAGGTATTTATGTGTAAGTCCTTTCTGCGTTACTTCAAAAAGTTTTTTAATTCCATCAGTGAGTCTGATAACAGTTGTGCTTATTTATGATATAAAATACAGGGTTACAACATTTAAAAAACAGCGAGGAAAACATGTCTGGTTTTTACTCACCCTCTGTATCGAGGAATTTATAGTCCAACGGAAGGATTCCTGATAGTGACAGTTGTAATCTGTCACTTTAATTCACAGACAAATTGTATTTTCTGAATTATTTTGGTTATCGACTATTTTAGTATCTATGATTAGTTTAGAGCAGACGTTATAAAAATACTTACAGTTAAATAGAAACAATAATCTTCGATTTTTTAAGTTCTTATATACAGGGTCGTCCGAACTGTATTTCGGAAACTTCGGCAGCATATTCTGCAAATAAAAATAACTAAAATGCTTAGTTTTGGAGATACAGGGTGTAGAAGTTTCAATTTTATTTCAATTTTTTCCAAATAATTTCTGAAGTAAGATCAAAATTTGGATGAAAATTATGTGTCCGGGAATTTTTTGACATGAAAAATTTGACTTTGATATCAATATGACCCCTACTTGTAGAGAGCGCCACCTACATATTTTTTAACTGGTTTGAAAAGTAATTACCCAAATTTATCATTTCAGTCAAATAATTATCTACTTCAACATGTTTATTTTTTGTCAATAATGACATGTATTGACTATTTCCATTCTAAATATCTTAAGAATAATTACTCGTAGCGATTTTTACCACGAAACGTTTTTTAAGTAAAAAACGTCGTAATTGTATATTCTTTCACTCATTAGTTTTATACAGGTACGGACAAAAAAAAACGTATTATTATTCAAAACAGTTAAAACACATGTAGGTGGCGCCCTCTAGAAATGGGACTTATATTGACATAAAAATATTAAAATCTCTCATGTCAAAAAACTCGCGGACGCCAATTTTCATCCAATAATAACACAGTAATAAAACACAATAAAAATGAAACTTCTTCACCCTGTATCTCCGAAACTAAGCAATTTAGGACATACATATGTATATACAAACATTTTTACTTATTTTTATCTGCAAAATATGCTGCCGAAGTTGTCGGAATATAGTTCCGACCACCCTCTATTTTAACAAAAATTTATTGAAAAAATTTCAAATAGAAAACATGCCACGGTGCTTTTTTAAAACACTGGGCCACCCTATATATTAAATTTTAAGCTATAAGACATATAACCAAGTAAATAACAAATGCAATTTCTCGTAAACACATTGAATTGGTTCCGTTTTAGTTCATTACGCCAATGACAACTCCCCCATCACGAAATCTTCTAATCTTAAATTCGTGACATCGTTCAGCCAGCTCTTTTCCAAATGTTAATAAGCAAAACAAAAACAACGCATTAGCGCAAAAGTCACTGGGTTAAATCGAGAGTTCAAGGAAATCCAAGCCCATAAATGAGATACTTTCTCCGAAATTATATCATAACATACGGCAGGTATTATATAATGTTATATCACAGTCAGTTTTATGCGGATGACACAACATGCAAATATGGTAAATGTGGTTCTGAATTTTCACTCATTCATATACATACAGTAGACAGAGCGTATATGTATGACCTACAAAAGAACTATAAGAGATATTAATTATTATTACAGCTCATTTACATTTATTATTTCTTGTATATAGCGTATTCAGGCTATTGTAGATGTAACATTGAGCCGTTGATGCTTGTGCTTAAATATTTATATGAGAGAGAATTTAATTGTTCATTAATAACAATCGTTTTATAAAGTTTTTCAGCTTTCTGAAAAAGCTCCCTTATTTGTATATTTTCTCCTCTACTAAACGCAGGTTCAAGCTACATGATTATTGTAGGAAATGTTTTTTGCAAAAAAATATTCTTTTCTCAGTTTCTCCTCAAGTTAGGTATAATTAGTTTATTGAAATCAGAGAAACCCCTCCAGTTTAAAAATTAAACTTCATATTAATCATAAGATTTATTGCAAGATATCAAATGATAGACATAAAAAACTATAAGGTGAATTAGAAGATTTTCGCTTGGACTGCGAAGATTTTTAGCTTTTTGTGACAATATTTTTAATTTTAACTATTTATCTTTGGCCAGCAGTTATTGTCCACTAAAAACTTTATTTCGAGCTTTTCCAAATTATCGATTTCTTACAGATCAATTATTATTACATTCACAAAAATATTTGAAGTGAAACTTAAAAACATAAAATTTTTTTATGAATGCTTTTTATAAATTTCAAAAAAATTAGAGTTAATATTAAAACCTAACCGTATACTATTCCAGCTTTATAATTTTATAATGTTTTTTTTTAATTTTTATTAAAAAACGATAATTCATCACTCGGCCGGATAGCTGTGGCCATTAAACCAAAATACTACTACATCTATATCTCTGACTATTACTAACTGCTACTAACCAACAAACTGTTTTGTGTGTTCTGTGGTCTGTTTTTGTTAAAATGTATTGTTCATTATTCATGTTGGGGATTTATTTATAAATTAATGTTAATCGTTAGGCAACCAGTAAACTCATAGAATATGTATTTCTTTTGCATAATCAAAATTGTCACTCATTGTTGTCTTGTCATTATTGGAATTCTCAGAATGTTAAAAAAGTTTCATCTTAAAATAAAATTTTAGTCAATCACAATTGTTTATCTCCATCATTTACCGGATTAATACTACATAAATTACAGCTCAGACCATTGGTACACATCAAGGTTGGTACAGTATTTATATATAAATACTGTACCAATATGTAAGTTTATTATATTGATTTTTTTAGCCGCATATGGCACAGATAGTTACTCAGTGTTGCCACAAGCTTATTTTTCATCGGAGTAGATTATCACAAGATAGCGGAGTTAAATCACAGTTTAAAGAATATAAATATATCAGTTGACCCACTCTAAGGAATTCTATTGTTATTTTGACTTCAAAGGCGACCCTTCGAGGTGATAAAAAAATTTGTACGTTTACCGGGTGCAGCGGAAGTGCTATTTTATCAGTCAGAACGCTGCCCATATACGAGGGATCAACTAAAAATACTAAGAAATTTTAATATAGCAAATAGAAAAATAAAAATACAGTACTAGTTTTATTGATTAACAGTTTTAGGCGTCTTTAATAATTTATCAATATTTATTTACTTTCTTCTTATTATTATTTAATAACATATCTCATTGTTTACAAATATAAATACGATATGAATTGAAATGTGAAATAAAAAACGAATTTTAGTTAAGTACATTATCTTATAATACTAATTTATTCATGTTAATTTTACAACAAAATAATTTACATATTTTACCATCAATGTTAATACATAACGATTATAAAATCTTATTATATACAGATAAAAAGTGAAAAATATTCAGGTGAAATGGTGAAATACTATTACAAATAAAAATATAGATAATACAGATTACAATGTTATATCAGAAGATAATATTTGTAAAGTTTCTTATACATTTTTCTTAAACTAAAGCAAACTTAAAAAATAATTATCAGACTCTACTTATACATATTATGGTGAATACATTAATATTAAAATATTAGATATATTATTCTATCCTAATTCTTTGGAATATGGAATTGTCAATAGGGTAATTATTATTAATAATTATTATGGAACCCCATATGAAAAATAAATACTAAATAAATATAATAAGTTAATTTTTTTAATATATACATTAATAATTTGCATATTTCTTAAATTATCGCATGTTTTGCTTTGTAGATGTTTGCATTTTACTTTAATTACCTACCCGGAAAGCCCAAATTTTATCGTAAGGTAATAAAAGTACCTTTGCATACAACTTGTGTTGCCATTGTCAATTTTTTTGGATTTTTTTCTAAATTTTATGATTATCATGAACAGTAGTTATAACTGTTAGTAGTTATTTGTGTAATAAATTTTACTGTTCGATAAAAATTGACAATGGCAAGACAAGTTACAAGGTAGATAATTCATGTTAAATGCAAACAGCTAAAAAGCAAAACATGCTATAACTTAAGAAATATGTACACGGGAAAAATAATGAAAGTACCAAAAAGGGGGTGTGGTTTTAAAAGATTTTATTCATAGTTAGGTTTCCATAATTATAATATACTTAATATATCTAATATTTTAATTATTATGTATACTTAATATCCTATACTATATAAACACATACCTTCCTTCACCTTTTGGGCACCTAAAGAACGTAATATATTGTCTGTCATTCTACTTTCACAACCATCCACTACACAAATATTTCTAGTAGACATTTTATTCACAATTCGAAACTAAAACATTATTTTTGTTTCACCCTATGCGTCGGACCGAAAACAAAACTAAAATAAACTTGGAACGCTGTGTACACGTCGAGCAACGGATGTAGACTGACCCAAGTCTACAAGACAGGCGGGGAGCGGCGGGAGGAATTTTGATACCGGCGAAGGGTGGGTCAACTGATATATTTATATTCTTTAAACTGTGGTTAAATTATTTTACAAAGAAGTAGGCCTACCCCGAATGGAGTAGCTGTGGCAACACTGCCTCTATCACTTTATCTCCCGCTAGCTCGCGCGTCACGGCCGTCTGGCGGCCGTCGTTCAAGGCCGCGTGTGAATTTTTACTCCCAGCGTGCGTAAAGAAGTTTTCACTTTTGATTTAACACTTAGAAAATTAGAACCTTTAGAACACTTTTGATTTAAAACGATTGTCACTAATAGACACGCCCTGTTCGAGTATAATGTTAGAGAACTCCTACTCATTGTTTTTTTGGTGTTTTTTATAGGTGATAGTACTAGGCACAGTATGCCTCTGCGCCTGCGCTTTAGCTGCCGAGACCGAAGAGAAGAAAAAAGAGGTCTCGGAGGAAAGTAAGAAGCAGGACAAAAGAGGCATCCTGCTTGGAGACCATGGAGGATACGGTGGTGGAGGTGACATTGGAGGTGGATATGGAGGAGGTGGATATGAAGGAGGTTACGGTGGCGGATATGGAGGAGGATACGGGGGTGGAGAAGAACTTGGTGGAGGTAATGTTTAAAACCAATAAAATAAATTTTAATGCTCAAAAAAGTGAAGAAAAAAAAGATATACATATAAGAAAATATATCACTTTCGGCCTTCCAAAAATAACTACTCTCGTTTGCTGTGGACTATGCCAACCCTGTATAATTATTTACATTTTTCAGGATACGGTGGTCATCACGAACACGTCAAAACCATAGTAGTAGAAAAGAAAATCCCAGTGCCTTACACAGTTACCAAACACGTACCTTACACCGTTGAAAAGAAAGTACCGTACGAAGTCAAGGTTCCAGTACCACAGCCCTACACAGTAGAAAAGAAAGTACCAGTACCCGTAAAAGAGTACATCAAAGTACCTTACATCGTACCACAACCCTACGAAGTCATCAAGAAAGTGCCTTACGAAGTCAAAGTACCAGTTCCAAGGCCTTATGAAGTTAAAGTACCCGTACCACAACCTTTCACCGTTGAAAAGAAGGTGCCAGTACCAGTAAAAGTGCCCGTGCCACAGCCTTACACTGTTTACAAAAAGGTTCCATACCCAGTCAAGGTTAGTAGACTTGTTTTATCCCAAAATAATTATTTGAAATAAGATTCTACAGAAACTTTTTATTTATGTCGCACCAAATGCGGAAATATTCATTAAGAAAATGATTACAAAAAAATACTTTTTACTACATTATCACCTAATATTAATAATCTTTTTACTTATCTCAATTCCTTTAATAAAACGTATTAAATATTAATTTTATTACATTAAAGTAAAAATGTAAAAGAAGTAATGAAAAATATTCTTATAATGGCAATTTTGTATCAGTCCAAAATTAAAACATCAACGTTACAAAAAATATTACATACTTTTTTTTAATCATATGTTGACCATAAAAAATACAAATTAAAAGTTTGGTTTACTTTTCAGTTGATCGTAAAAAAGGGGTTGCCAAAAATATTATACATTTTTTTTTTAAATCTTTAATAAATAATAATCTTTAATTAAATTTAAATCAACAATAAAAAATGGTAATTTAGTTATGATTAACACCATAATTTTTTATTAATTTTAATAATTAAACTAAAAATAATTAAATTAAACAAACTAGACAAGAAAAAAGTTCACAAAATGTTTATTTGTAGAGATAATTATTTGCATCCATATAAATTATTAGGTATATTATATTATTTCGACATATTATTTATGAATTTTAGGTTGAAGTACCAGTTCCTCAACCTTACACTGTCGAGAAAAAAGTACCCTATGAAGTTAAAGTACCAGTAGACAGACCATACCAAGTTTTTGTTCCTAAACCATACCCAGTCACCGTTGAAAAGCACGTTCCATACCCAGTAGAGAAACCAGTACCATACGAAGTCAAAGTACCAGTTGACAAGCCATACCCTGTCGAAGTACCCAAGCCTGTACCAGTACCAGTCAAGGTACAGTAATAAGACAAAATATTTTTTATATAATTTCAATTTTTTATAGAAAATACTCCTATACTTATTTAATTATTTAAGGCATATTTCATTCAATTTCTTTTTAAGATTTTTAGCAGTTCTTATTAAGGTTCTATCTGTTTTATTTACTTTTATAAGTGATAAATATAATATTTATTACTTTATAGAGTATTTGATTTATATACTTAATTATTTTCCTTTTATTTCTTAGTTAATATTTATTTTTCAATATTTCGATAATTTGTTATTCTATTCGTATAAAATATTTTTTGGAATAAAACTAACATTAAATTCAAGAACATAGATTTACCAAACTTTACTGTAATGGTAATTTACTGTTACCGGATTTTAAATAAATTACTTAGTCGAAATTGAAGAGATGGTTAGTCTTATTATTTCAATTATTGTATATTAATTTATATATTATTCTAGGAATACTTATCTTTATTTTTCTTGTTCCAAATTTATCGATTATTTTTTCTATAGGATTATTTTAATAGTTTGTTTTTTATAGTTTTTCTTTATATTTTTTCGAGGTTTATTTTTCTATTTGTTTTTCATTTCCATAAATATTTTTTTAAGAATATTTAAAATTAAATTTCAATCAATAAAAAATTTATTCTATCTAGATAATTTATTTATTTATGACTTCTGATTTGTGTTTGATGGTTATTTTTGTTAAATTAACCATCAAATTTCTTCTAGTATTATAATTATTATAACATTATGTCTACTTCATTGTTTTTACTCTTTTTATTTTCTATTTATATTCTCTTATAATAAGAATATCTTTCTCTTAACTTTGTTAAGTGTAATAGTATTTTCTCATTGCATTTAATATTAATTAAAATATAATATATTGTAACTCTTTAATTTTAATATTATATTTCAGGTCCCAGTACCACAACCATACGCCGTTATTAAGAAAGTACCAGTCCCAGTAGAAAAACCATACCCAGTACCCGTCAAAGTACCAGTAGACAAACCATACCCCGTCTACAAGGAAGTACCCTACCCAGTCGAAAAACCAGTACCGTATCCAGTTAAAGTTCCAGTACCCGTACCTGTCAAAGTTCACCACGAAGAAGGAGGTTACGGTGGAGGTTATGGAGGTGGTTATGGAGGTGGTTACGGAGGTGGATACGGAGGTGGATACGGAGGTGGAGAAGAATACCATCACTGATGTAATACTTGAGAGAATGTCAAGGATTCGATAAAATTACTTGGAGATTCAAGTGAATTTTATTTGATCTTGTTATTTTTAAGGTTAATGTTGTTGTTTGTAAGTTATGAGACAGGGAATGAGATAGTGAGATAGCTAAAAATATTGTAAATATATATTCTAGTCTGTTTTTATTGGTTGTTTTCTATCATTCTTTTTCTTTTTAACTGTTTTTTTTTATTTCAATCCTTGTTAATGTTTCTTTGTATTATTCTTTTCTTCTCTGAATTTTTCAAAAGGAAAACAACCATTTTTGGTATAAAAATAAGAAAAAATCATATTTTTAGCCAACTCAGTTTCCGGATTAAAAAAAACAGAAATACTATACTGTATGTTGAATTATTAAAAAAAATGTGTTGTTGCTCAATCGATAGAAGGATTTCGAGTTTGGGAAAGTGTGCGTGCTTGCAGTATTATTTACTAAGAATCTGTGTTAATTATTATATATTTATCTGTAATTTCTAATAAAAACGATTTCATTACGACATGGTTGCGTTTTAATTGAGTGAAGTGTGACGAAATTTGCATGGGTAATAACTTTATCAAAGCCTATAAATCCTATAAATCTATTTAGACCTTCTAGAATATGGTTTGGATTTAAATATGCTAAATTGTAAAATAAACATTATAATACAATGTTTCATAAAAATATGTACCATATTTCTTCAGAATCCATTTAGTAAAATTATTATTTTACCACTAGAATTTTTTTTGAATATAAGTTTTAACTTTGAATATTTTTGAAAAAAATATCTATTTTTCCAATACGCCTTTTTAAGTTTCATGACAGTTAAAATATATCCAACAAAAGAACGGATGATTTCTACAGACCACATGCAAAAATTGACAGAAAAATCAATTTACACTTAAGTTAAAATGACTGACAGTGTCATGAATTGTATCATGTATGTTTAACTGTACTAAATAATATAACATAATTTTCAAAATACATACGTTTGATTTTTGTTCTGTTTCTGTAGAGGAGGATCGTGAAGAAATCGTTTTTTTAATTTTTTTTTTATAAAAATAGAAAGTTTCATTGTTAAGTGTTAATTAACTATAAAAAGTGTTAAGAAGATGTATTTTATAAACATACTGTATGTATACGAAAACGATATTGAACCAAAAGTGATTGTACCAGTCCAGTTCTTTTATTAACCGTTCACCTCAATTTACTGGTGTAACCTTCTTTCTGTCAGTTATTTTCCTATTTCTTGTTTTTTTTGTTCCTATATGTATATCTGTTACTTCGCATTTGGTTCGGGCACTCAGGCACTATACCGAAACCATTACGAAAATGGATAATTATTACGTTAGCCTACAAATTGTAACTTGCGTGTAAAGTGTAGAGCGGCAGGAATTTTAAAACTAGCGGTGCGTAGATAATGGGTGTTAAGTAACTTGAGAAAAGCTTATAGTATTCTGCTATCTACATATGAAAATAAAAATACAATCAAAAAAATAGTTTGTTATTTACAGTATGTCCCCGGATTGTCTTAACAAGAGAAAAAACTTTTTTAATATTCACATTTTGAGAAAAATGCATTCTTCATAAAAATGTTTGCTTATTCTAAAACGACTAATCCCGTTTTATACTTTTCCAGATTTCCATACCGTTTTAGAGAAAATTAAAAAAAAAACATAAATACCTATAGAGTTGATTTTTTTTTCTAAAGATCCTAAGTCCTAAAGATTTCATTCCTTGATAGATTGGTATTAAAAACATGAAAATGTAGTCGAATTTTTCCTAAAGTTCTAAAAGTTAAAAGACATTTCTATGGTAAAATAATTTCGATTTCGTTCTTTGAGAGACCGTTATAATTAATTTTGATTAACGTTAAAATTATTGTTGATTTTTCGATAATTATTATCAACCTTTCCGTAACATTGAACTAAATAAATGTTGTGCTTCTTTAACATTTTAAAACAGCAAAATATATGATAATAATTAAAATTCTGTCAATAATAATCTATCAAAGAATGAAAACAAAATTATATACGATTTTTAAAATATCTGAAAAATATGTTTATTTTTTTAAAATATGGTGCCCTCTGGCGGACAAACGAAGCACTTTTGTATAGAGGTAAATTGTGTCCAATGAACTTATTTTGATTCCAAAAATACGTAGTAGTACTATGTCCACGGAATATTGGGACACCCTGTAATATGCGTTAGGTGTAGAAAACCAATCAGTTATAAAATTCACTTATATTTAACTAATTAAAATTATAATAATTAAAACATAATAAAATTATAGATACATTATTATTAAATAAAATTATATAAGGATTCTTGCCATTTAACTGCTGATATAGTAATTTAATTCTACGCTATGTTTGTCATAATGTGGATCAACCTGCTCTCACTACCGGTTTCGGAGCCCTACTCCATCATCAGGTGAGCCTGGGCAGATCTACAAAATGACAACCACAGGGCAGAGAAAGTTAATTCCGACTTGTCGGAAAGTGTCGGTTAGATACCAAAGGCTGACGACCAGGTCGCACCGGCAAGGCCGCAGCTACCTCTAAAAACATTAAATCAAATGATATAGCGCACACTAACGTCCCGCCGCCGCCGTCCGTTGGTCGTTGCGACCAGAAGACTGCACGGAAATATTATTATTTTCTGCCGCTTGTTGCCGGTTTTCTTCCAAATTAATAATTTTTCAGATGAAATCCCTCAAATTCAAGGCACAATATTTTATTTTCTATAAGATATAGTGTTTTAGTGTAGTTTTTGCACACGTGCAGAAGTACCATGCAAAGAAATAGTATACAGACTGGATTAAAGGTAAACTTAAATCTAATCCCTTTTTTTATCAAGGGTCGATTCTAGTAAAAACTCAAAGAAAAACTCAGAGAAAAAAACACTTGTTTTTTTTATTAAATTAGTTTTTTTAGTTGTATTGTAGTCATGTACAAGGAGGACAACTGTATTTTAAATATTATATTTAATTTAACGTTTTTCAAACAGGGTTCATTAGACTATATTTCTACTAGGTACATTATTTTATTACAGTTGAGGGTTGGAACCTTTGGTATTACACAGCAAAACAAAAACACTAAATCACCACAATACACCAAAACACTTTTACTTTTACACTGGACGCGCGTTTCGCTAACCATGTTAGCATCATCAGCAGATGATTATAAACGAACTGTGGTTTATAATCATCTGCAGTGTAAAAGTAAAAGTGTTTTGGTGTATTGTGGTGATTTAGTGTTTTTACATTATTTTGAAAAAAAATAAGAAAGTAACTTAAACATTCATAAAAATAGATGTAATTACTGTTGTAGATTCTTCGTTATACAGGGTGTCCCAGAATTGAGTGCAGATATTTTAACTGGTAGTATAGTTCAACCCCAGAAACACGCCTATGAGGTTTTTTTTGCGAAAAAAAAATGTTGAAAATTTTATATTTTTCTTGACATTTTCCGGAAAATGTTGAAAAACTTTTGAGTGCCACTGTTCACTCCCCGGGAAATTCGTTTACCGGGCATAGAGAGTGTCGGAGAGAATGCAACGTTGCCACCTCCTACCATACCCACATTCTGCATGTTTATAAATTCAATTATTTTAAGTTGCTACAGAAAAAAATACGAAAATTAATTTTATTCATATTAGTGTAGATTGCTATACTAATTGTAGAGAAACGCGCAATATTTTAAATACTTTTTACAGTGGAGTAAACTGAAAAAATAAATCTTAACAATTAGCTTCTTTTTTCGCCATATTAGGAAATATTTTTAATCGTTTCAATAAACAATTATAACCTTTAATGTTTAGTTAGAGCTTACCCTTTTAATGAAAGTGTTTTTTATCCAGCACATACAGGGTGTCCCAGAAATAAGTGCAAATATTTTAACTGGTAGTATAGTTCAACCCCAGAAACACGCCTATAAGGTTTTTTTGCGAAAAAAAAATGTTGAAAATTTAAAATTTTTCTTGACATTTTCCGGGAATTTTGAAAAAACTTTTTAGTGCCTTGCAGTGTTGTAACCTCCTATGTTATCCACATTCTACATAGTTCTACATTTATAAATCCATAGAAAAATTTCTACTCAAAAATTAAGAATGTTAAATTTTTATCAGTGCTCATTATTAATAATTATTATAGAAAAAAACACATTAATTATTTTTAGTACTTACCCTTTCAATGAAAACTTAACAAAAACCACCGAAAATTAACTAAAACATTACGTTTATAACGTTTACGAAAATGATTCATCATATTATTCACAACCAGGTCACAAAAAAGAAATTCCTAAAATGTTTATCGTAATTTAGGTGCTTGTCAGATATAACACCCTCCGAATTTGGCATTTATTTATATATCAGTCGAAAGCATACACTTAAATAAGAATTTTAAGCAAAAAAAAATTGCGGATGAACCACAATTTATTGAAAAATAAATTAATTAAAAGTGCATTTTTAGGTTATGGTGAAGTTGTATAAGCGTGTAATTATTGTAAAATATGACGATTATGTGCATTTTTTATTAATATAAACGTCAGACTTAATCATTGAGAATCATTAATAAGTCATAAATCAAAAATAGAGTTGCTGATATCTTTTGTAATATTTGCCTGATCGATTTACTCTTTCGATTCAAACTTGCCGCCGGAGCCGTCTGTCACCATTTGTTGTTAAGGATGTAAGCTGTGTAAGCATTGTTGCCAAAGTTATTTCTTGTTTGTATGATACATAATACCGTATGATCGAAAAAAAACGGCGTCCAGTTGGCTTGGAAATGACGATCGATGACATTCCCCATATAATTTTACATATAAAATGACAGCGATGTTCATTTCATAGCCATGGCTGACGCCGTTTTTTTTCGATCATACGGTACGTTACATGATACAAAAAAAGAGTTGAAACCGAAAGAGTTTTGATTGCGTTGGTTTCAACCTTTTCGTGAGGGTGTTAATCTTTTGTTTTGTTTTTTATTTTAATACGAATCTGATTGCTTTCACTTGATTTTACGTGCCGGTCGCCGGACGAACAAATCCTTATACAGTAGCGCTGTCACGATAAGAACAGATTATAACTTATTTTAAAATCAAGACATTGAAAACACTCAGATTCGTATTAAAATATAAAAAAAAACAACAGATTAACCCCCAAAGAAGTTGAAACCAACGCAATCAAAACTCTTTCGTGCAACTTTGTAGTTATAAATAGTCAAATCTCGTTGGCAAAATATCAGCTATGTGTAGGAACAATTCCTCAAACGATCGCCTTTTCTTGATTTTAAAATAATTTATAATCTGTTCTTAACGCGAGTTTTCTTCCGACCAGCACGTGTTTTTTTAATGAACCTTTCAAGAAGAAATGAATGAATCTGGCAACGCCGACAAAATTTGGAGGAGTTTTCGCATAGAAAGTAGCCTGTTGTAGCAATAATTAGATGTTTATATTTTCATTAAATTATGGATCATCCACACTTTTTTTTGACTTGGAATACTTATTTCGATGTATGCT